GTGAAAGCCGGGTTTTCTGGATTAGCTTAGGTTTTTAAAATTGTATTCCGAACTTCCCACAGCAATGACAACAGCCTTTAGAGAAAAAGATGACTACATTGTAAATATGAACAATTATATGTTAGATAAGTGGAAATACCTGCACCAGGGTGGGATAGCCATTGTAAATATTAGCATTTTAAATTGAATATTTTTAGGAAAGCAAGACTTAAATCCATTTAAGAAAAGGATCTATGTGAAAAACATTCAATGAAACCAGTTGAAACAACAACAACAAAAAAAGCACAGGTCTTGAAAAATCATGTGATTTTCTGAAATATCAGAATACTTAATATTGCTATTGAAATAAGGCCAATTTAGTCCATTATATATGAAAGCATCGTGACAGCACTCTTGAAGAGTCAACAGTATTCATTAAAATTCAGCTGTTTTTTTTTTAATTAAAACATAACTTTCAAGAAGCTTCATTAGTATATAGTAGTGTTCTGGATAAAGATGGATTGGGAGATTTATATTTTCTAAAGTCTAAATATTTCTTCATATGTGTGTATGTATTTATTTTTTTGTTGTTGAAAACCTCTTAAGCTGCTTCGATACAAAATATTTTTCTGTATCTGTTCTGTCTGTAGAACTCTGTGGGAAGGCTGAAGATGAAGCTAGGGAAGAAAAACAGCAGCAAAGCACACACAAACATGAGGCCACCTGGCTGTTTGCCATCATACATGACATTCAATTATTTTAGAACTTTTTCATGAGTTTCCCCTCCACCCAGCTTCCCCTCCCCTCTCCAAATCCTTGCTTTTCTACATTTGGCATAGCTCATCTGATTCAGCACGCATTTTTCCTAGCTTTATTTATATGCCTCAAACTCTCACCACAAAAAGAAGTGCTAAGATTAACATTCTTGCAATCCTATCTTGACATTTCCACTATTACTACATACAAATGATATTTCTTTCAATAACTTGAGAAAGAAACTAGAGTGGTCTACACATTGCTTCAACTGCTGCTTTGATGTATATACTCCAAATATTTTTCATTTCCCAAAATATGTTCTCATGGGAGGCAGGAGCATTAAAAAGAGCTTTTAGACCATGATTTTTTTTTTTAAAGTAAAATAAAGTCAAATTGACAGACAGCCAATCCCTAATCTGAAGTTGACTTATCTGAATTTACCTTTGGGGGACAGAGCAAATAGTTATTTCAGTGAACTTTTCAATTTGTTTTAATGCATTCAATTACCTTTACTCTAGATTCTAAAGGGAACACAATGAAATTTTTAAAAATACTCCAAAATACTGCATTTGGGAAATTGGCACCTAACAACAATAGATTGGCTACTGGAATATTAAATGTAGCTTTAAAAGGGAGCATCAGAGTCACATCACAAAATAACCTGTCCATTAGTGTTACCATTCCAGCCTGGAAGACCAAGGCGGAGAAAATACTGTTTAAAAAAATTTGAGACTTGAACCTAAAATATCTCTTGTTAGCCCTCATTGATTTATAAAGGAGATGTGAGGAAGCATCAGTGGCTACACATGTAGAGCTCTAACACTGCTGGAACCCTTGGATGTCCTACATGTTGTTGTTATTTAAAGAAGCAAATGGCCCCTCTTTCTCTTTTCCTTACTTTAGCATCTCCTACAAGAGTTTTTATTCCAGATAGATTTCTTGACTGGCATGAAATATGGGAAGGTGGGGAATGCTGAATACTGGGTATAGAACCTAGGTTCCAGGTATGGAACGAGGTGATAGATATTCTTTAACAGTGGAATAGAAAGATGGAGCAAAAAGAGGAAAGTTAGCCTGGGCTGTTGGGCTGAGCCTGCTGAAATAAAGTCCCTGTTAGAACCTGGCTGAGTAAACGGGATCTCTCTTGCCAGCTGATGGCTCCTCAGAACGCTGATCCCTAGGGCCCTGGTCAAGCCAATTGGTGAGAGTTCGAAAATAGGAATGAAGATAAGAAACAGTCTTTAAAAGCCTACTGAGAAGGAAAGAGCCATGCCGGTCTGAGTAGAGTAGCTGAAGTATTTATCAAAGTTCTATGGTCCATTTCCAGGAAGGTTATCCTCAAAGCATCAGGCAGAAGAAAATTGAGGTAGATCTCAGGGAAGGTGGACAGTCTCCAATCAGATTTCTTCTCCTTTCTTGTGACTTCCAGAAATCATTGCATTATTACTATTTTAATTAGCATTATTTTAAATGTATTAATGCTCCAATGGCTAGAGCTGTGTCATTACTATAAACTACATCTCAACCTCTCAAAATCCATTTAATGCAGCTCTTGGAATCAGAGACCCAACTTCTTGCCAAAAACTGCAGATTAAGCATTCGTTATGGGAGTTTGCCATTAGCTGTTCCCTTTGTTATGGGCACATGTGGTTACATGTCCCAAAACACACAGTATTCCGTGTAATAGATTTGCATTTCCAGGGGGCATCCAGGAATATTAAGCTCAGTTGGTGACACCTTGCACCCATCTATCCAACCACTATCATCAAAAGTGGGCTTGAGGTCTGGGGTTGCAATGGGTTTAGTAAGCAGCGAGCCTCCACTCCCTCGCCTGTCCTCTCCTCTCTGAGCTGAACCTTTATTGGTATACAAGTACTCTAGAGCTTGCATCATATGTCTTTCATTTAAAAGGCACTGGATGTTTTTTCTGGGAATTTAGGACTCTTAGGATGCATATTTATAAACAAGCTGACATAGCTCTACGACATAACTAAGTTTATAGCTAGGAGTTGTTTGTATATTTCCTCAAGTCAGCAAGGCATTCATTGTACCTGCTGCTGTGAATTTCTGGTAAACCAATTAAACAACCATGTCTCATATCCTCCCAGTGTTTATTAGAGAAAGTCAGATTTTCAGAGTATCTGAAGGCAAGGTACAGGGGCGATCCGAGAGAATTGAAAATCGTGGACCCCTAGAGGAGCGAGTAGATAGATAACTCCACACGAAGCGTTCTGGCACGGGCGGCCCAGGAACCCACTAGAAAGTGGCCAGGAAGCACAGCATAGCTTCTCTTATGCCTCAACTCTTTCACCAGCATTCCCTTAGGGGCATTTTGGGGGCTGGGGAGCGGTCAGGGGGAAGGATGCCAGACTTAAGTTTCCGAATCTTGATGCACACTGATTTTCTCCCGAAGCTCAGTCCCATAAAGCTGTTATTTGCTGGAATCCCTTCACTTTTAACAAATACTTCTTGGTGCTGAGGTCACATCTCAAAGGCATTAATAATATACATTAAAAGTTACTTCCAAAAGTGTGTAATTCCCAGAACCTAAGTGCGCGCTCGAGGCCACGATGAACCACGTGAACTGATATTGCGCATCTCCCTCAGGACGATCCAGAGAAAAGAAGCTCTTTGCTCTGACGCCAAAAGACCCCGATCTGGTGTTCAGGACTGTCGAGTTTTTAGTATAGTGCTGAGGAATAGCTCTGAGGGGTGCGAAGCTCCAGGATTGTTCGCCCCGGGACGGCTGCTAGTACTACCCTCGAAGAGCGGCCACCAGCGAGACGTAGGTCGGCCAAGACCCCGAAAAGGGTGGACATGCCCGAACCTATCCGATTGCTCCACAACATTATACTTGGCCTCGCACCCGAGCGGCGGTTGCCAGGCGGTTGCCCATGGCCGTGGCTGGTGACCAGGCTGGCCTGGGAAAACGCAATGCGTTGTGACCCGCTGGATGCAAAAGTCTGTCAGGACCCGCGCGCTGAGACCACCTTGGCAAGGCGCAATACTTAGTTCCCACTTTTGGGGCGCTTTCCACCAAATGTGCCCATGCAAAAGGCCTACTGCAAATGGCTGCCTTTTCGTGCTGCAGGCGCTAAAAACACGTTTCCCCTAGACGCCGCGGGGTCCTGGGAAGCTGTGGCCCGGCCCACCCTCGCCAAGGGCTTTCAAGCCGCAGTGCTGCCTGCCCTCTGGGAGCCGCCAGCCCGGCCGCCCGACTGTCCCCTCCGGCAGAAAGGCCGACGCCGCCCGCCTGTGCGCCCCGCTCCGCGCGCCCCTCGCTGCCCGCGCGCCCTCCCACGTAACTTCACGGCGACTCTTTAAAAGTAGAAACACGCACTCTTGGAAAACCACGCTGAGGCCTCGCTCTTCTTCGGAAAGCCCTTTGTGTGAGAAGCCGCTCTCTGCCCTAGACCAAGGCTCAGACTAAGGGGCCTTTGGGGGGGACGTTTTGCTCTCGGTTTTCTTAAAATGTTTGGACCTAGTGGTGAAGTCGTGGCCCTAGGGGAGGGTGGGGAGGCGGGCGGGGGACTCGGTGGATATTGGCATAACGGGGTCAAAGCCTCTGGCTCCGCTTCCTTCTCCCACCCGTCGCCACCACGTCCACACGCCGCCGCATTCCAGAGAGAAAGGAGAGGCCACGGGCTCCTGAGCGCCGAGCGCGCCGGGACGCCGAGCTCCTCCGGGTTGGAAGCCCAAGCGGCCCTCGCGCACGGCCGTCCCAGCTAATAGCTGCCAAGGCGTCCGGCTTCTTGGGCTTTGGATCAAGTGGATCTTCCACATAAACGATTTACGGATGAAATAAAAGCCCTTTAGAGCAATGCTTCCTTTCAAGTTCTTAAGACGCCTCTAAATCTTTCTGGGAGTGAGAGGCCGGCGTGGGGGCGGGGTGGGGGCCGGTGCCCGGCAGGCGCCCGGGGAGGCTCGAGCGCAGGGAGTGGAGGGTTAACTGCTTTGCGATCTCACCAAGCTCTTCCGAAATGCCAGTCCACTGTCGCGGCGACAATGTTTCTGGTGGTCGGGGCCTCGTCCCTCCTGGCATTTGTCTGAAATGGAGCTGTCTGTCTAACCTAGGCCTGGACGCGCCCTGCCGGGGTAAGTGGGGGGAAGGTGGGGGAGGGGAGGGGGCGGAGGGGGCCCGGGGTGGAGTTAGTCGCCTGCCTATTTTCATATTCATTAGAGCTGGGAGGTTGCCCGAGGAGCCCAGCTGAGTTTCAAGATATAAAAGCAACTTCGGGTGCCCCCTTCGCAGCCGGGACGTATTAAAGGGCTCGGAGCCGGGCAGCTCCAGGCGCCGCAGCGCTCGCTTCCCTTTCCCTCCTTCTCGGGCCCTCCCTCCTCCCGCCCATCCGCTCCCTCCCCCAGTGCTCTCGGGTCTCCGCGCCCCCGGAGCTCCGCGCCCGTCTTCCAGGATTATGGAGTTTCTGAGCGAGAAGTTTGCCCTCAAGAGCCCGCCGAGTAAAAACAGTGACTTTTACATGGGCGCAGGAGGCGCGTTGGAGCACGTTATGGAGACGCTGGACAATGAGTCCTTTTACAGCAAGGCGTCGGCGGGCAAATGCGTGCAGGCCTTCGGGCCGCTGCCGCGCGCCGAGCATCACGTGCGCTTGGAGAGGACCTCGCCCTGTCAGGACAGCAGCGGTGAGTCGCCAGCCCCTGCCCAAGCCGCGGCGGCGCGTCCGCAGACTCGAGGTGCGGGGACCAGTCGGGCGGGCGGGGAAGAGGAAGAGGGGAGGGCAGCCAGAAAGTGGAAGCCGGAGGAAGGCAGGGGAAGGGCGCGCCTTTTAGCAAGCCGCAGACTTTTGGGGGGCAGAGAAAGGATCCAGCGCTGGGGTTCCTCCGCGCGATTGGGCTTTCGCTGCCGTGTCTTGTCCCTCCACCGGGCGCGAAGTCTCTCTGTCCAGCACTGGGGCGTAAACTGATAGGGCACGAAAGAGAGCGGAATTGAGTCGAGAGAGCGAGCTTCTCCCGCGAGCCCGCCGCGCAGCCTAGGCAGAAGGAGCTGAAATCGATCACAGCTCGTTAGAGGATGTCACTGTCGTTACGAAAAAGAAAATGTAGGTGGAAAACATTTTTCTTTCTTAAATTTCCCAAGACACAGCGACATTTTGTCTTTGGGAAGTTGGAGGATTGCTAGGTTCGTTTACTTGGATTTGGGATTTCGATTTACTTGGATTAGCTTCCGGCAAGAAGCTCCAGTATAATCACTCACTCCCGAATTCTGCATTGTCTGTTTCCTGACTGCACATTAAAAGTCACCTAAGAAGCCTTTTGGAATGCTTCTGGGTGAAATCTTCAACTTTGAATGACCAAGCATCTCAAAGTCAAAATGTTATCAAAACAAACCATCTATCTTTTCTATCTTGTAACCCAATACAAACCTATTTTTTTTTCAGATCGAGACAGCTAAAGCAAGTTTACAATTCCAAGAGGACTTTTCCTTATCATTGTATATATTCCACAGTTAAGCTGTAAGGAGCGGGTTGCTTTAAAATAACAAACGAATTAAGTGTGAAATATTTACAACAAGCCTCCCGCCCCCTATTTCAACGGAGGTTTCAAATCTGACGAGGCACTCGCTCGTAGACGCTCATCTTTTAAATACTTCGTGCATAAGAAACTTAAAAAATAGACATCTTATATTTTTCTTATTTTATTCAGTAAGTTACTGTTGACTTGCAAGGTTAAATAAAAATAAAGGCACAAAGGATAGAGAGTATCATGTTTTCGCACTCATTTATTCAGAACGATGCGAGAAAGTGACTTATATTTTAATATACTAAATTTTTGGCTTTTTAGCTGTATTTCAGATGGCAGTAACTTTAATTTTGGAATTTGTAAATGTATACATAAAGTTATTTGAATGGTCAGAACTTTAATAACATGGTTCTGTAAGATCCTGTGTTGACTGCTAGATAAAACTCCATCATAATAGTTTAAATTGTCGGGAAGCCAAACTAAGACGAGAAATAGGTCATTTTTGATACTTTATCAACATTTAAACGAATACCACACTATTAGAATGAACTTTAATAAGAAAGTGTTGAGAAAGATAGATGTAGGCAGCAGTCCGCTAAATATGGGCAAGTTTCTTTCTCCTGAGATGCCCTTAGCCTGAAGACTGTTGCCCCTCCCCCATCCCTAATTACCGCAGTTCCCCATTTAACTTTGCCCAGGGAGACAAAACTGTATTGTTAATCAGTCATGGCTCTTCTTTATATTTAGTTTTACATCACGTCTTCTTTTGCATAAAAGCTGTTTGGCATTTAAGTTATAAAGTCATGTAGGCATTTGTAGGATGATTAAAGGACTTGTAAAGTGAATTATATACTCATTTAAAAACAGACAAAAATGAACAAAATTATGATAGTTCATCGGAAATTATCGCTGACTTGGTTAACTTTTTTTTTTTTTAAAAAAAAGGTCATTGATTCGTCCATGCATTTATGTGTGTGTGAGAGATACATTATGATACATTTCGTTGTTGTTTTCTGTCATATTGTAGCATATAGTCGAATCTGAAGGAATCACTAAAATTAAAACATCCCTAAACAGTATGCCAGGTGACATCTTTTGAAATTTTTTAATAAATATTTTAACTTCTGTGCTTTAGAAAAAGGGAAAACAAAATTCTTTTTTTACAACATTTCATGACATTTCTAAATACGACATTTAGAAAGATCTGCATGAGAGTTTTTAAGTAAAGAAGCATTCTTAAATTTTATTCTTTTATTTGAAATTCATTTTTTACTTGAGTAGACTGCATGGTGAAAAAAGTTTAAATGCAAGTATTTGAAAAACAATAGTAATGACGTGGTCACATGCTAAATCTGTTAAGTCCATACATTTTCTATGGAGATGTAGCTAACTTTTGGTGGACCATTTGGATTTTGTCTCACAGATATTAATTAAAGTTAAAAACATCTTTCCCAAGCCTTGCAAATAGTTTAAAGTCTGCCTGCTGTGAAAAAATGTATGATTTACATTAAATTTTTTGGTTTTCAAAAATTTTGTTCATTGGAATTTATTTTTCAATCTGGAGGTTCTTGATATGACAATTTAATATGAATACAAATTATGTGTTAAATATTACATTAACTGTATTGTAGAGTGAAATTGTGAATTGTACATACTGAGGTTCACACATGCAATTTTAAATAGTTTTAAACCTGTCAAATATGAATTAATACTTATGTTTATAATGTTATGCTGAAATTAAAACTGGCACAGTAACTCATTAACAGACTGCTTTTCTCATGCTTCAATTACTTAAACTTAATTTCTTCATCAAGACGTTTCATAATCTTGAGAACTCTATTTTGCCTTTCTGGGTACAGTGAACTATGGGATCACTAAAGTAGAAGGACAACCTCTTCACACCGAATTGAATAGAGCTATGGACAACTGTAACAGTCTCCGAATGTCTCCTGTGAAAGGGATGCCAGAGAAGGGAGAACTGGATGAACTTGGGGATAAATGTGACAGCAATGTATCCAGCAGTAAGAAGCGAAGACACCGAACCACCTTCACCAGCTTGCAGCTGGAGGAGTTGGAGAAGGTCTTTCAGAAAACCCATTATCCAGATGTCTATGTCAGAGAACAGCTGGCTCTGAGGACAGAGCTCACTGAGGCCAGGGTTCAGGTAAGAGCCAAGTGGACTTGCATGTTTTTTGGGGGGGGAGAGAAGAGTGGACATAATGTTAGAATATTTCAGTAGTTGCATTTTGCCACTAAGAAACTGGTTTTGCAAATGAATATATAGAACAAAGTTAATAAATGTATCCCTGTACATCCACTATAATTTCTTTTTATTTTGCAAAAGATTTAACAACTTGCACAAAAAATGTAAAACAAAAGAACACTAAAGTTGTCCCATGGGTATAAAAATTAATTATTATTTGAAAAGAATAGAATGGCATAATGTAGCTCTGATGTCTAAAAGTAATTTTTAAAGGGCAGAATCTGAGCTATTATTTATAAAATCTAGTAATAGTAATCCATATATTTTTTTCCTTTTTAATCAGTTATTGAGATTCATTTTAGGTTATAGAACAGATATTGTTATTTCAATAATAGCCTATAAATCTATAGTTTTATTAAGGTTGGAATTATAATAAAGAAAAAATGAAAAAAGAAAAATACAACTAATAGTTGTATTTTATAATCTATATATAATTATAGAGATTATTTACAAATGTCTAGTGATAGTGATTATCAATATTGCCATCTTATTTTAAAAGATTCAATGATTTATGTCTTTTTTTCCAGAATAGGAATAATGATGTTAAAGTAAATTTTGATATATACTTAATTATAAAAGTTGTGCTGAAATTACCAAATTGGATGATTCAAAATACTAATTTTTAAATCACTTTAAAAAACAAAAAAATTATACAGTAAAACTCTACCTCTTTGATGTATCTTGTTTTGACTAGATTTCATATTTGTAAGCTATATTCTATTAGTTTCCAGATAAGATTAATTCAGGAGATGGCCTTTGCTCTTTGTACGTGTCTCTACCACTCTAAATATGAAAATGAATTGTGCAGTTCCCATAAACCAATAAAATAGATAAATGAATAAAATAGTGAAAAAATTTTTCTCTCAGTGAGTAATAGTGTTCCATGACAAGATGAAGCCATTGTAAGCTCTTAAATCATTAAAGCCAACATCTGGTGGTGCAAGAATAACCAGCTGCAGATTTTTGCTTTGGTCTGTGAAGCCAAATGATTATTTTATCTCAGTTAAAGAATTAAAGATTAGAAAGTTAAGCTAATGAAGAATTCTGGAATTGTCAAGTGTTAACACAAGTCCTACATGTGTATTTTTTTTGTCTTGTGTTCATATATCTAAATAAGTTGTACATGTAACCATAGATAAATAAGTTTGCAGGCAATGATCAGCTATGCACAGTGCACATTTTCCCCTTCACATTTCATCAAGCCCTAATTAATTTCTGTCTGGGGACATTCACAGAGTGCCAACCTGAACCTAATTGACTCAGGTCTCTTTCCTACTTTTCATATCAGAATGGTAATTGGTGCCCATTTTAAGAGAATTGCGAAAGTTTTTTTCTAAATTAAAAAACAAACACCTCATTACTAAATTCCCTTAGTATGCTCTCTGTATCTATATGTGGAGACAATTAGTATATTTTATTTTATCTTGCTGTTGTCTTGAGCACTAAGTATAATAGATAATACACTTTTATCAGCAGTGTTCTAAAAACACTACAGAACAGGTAGTTATCTTTGTTAAAATTGTCTCTTACATTTACAGTATGTACTTAAACAATTGTACTTTAAAATTTAACTGAGCACTCATGTGTTGCCTGCCATAAGTATGAAAGATTTATTGCGTATGGGACGGTGAAAATTTCAAAGAAATATTAATGAGAGACTTTTCATAACTTGCATTTTTATGCATGAGTTCTAGCTTCTGTCCTAAATCGCTTATATTCCAAACATGTTTAAGACTGAAGAGCTTCCCAACAGTTGCTTCTGTAATGACCATTAGAAAATATCAAGTTATACATATCAAATATATTTTTTTCTGTATTTCCCTTTAGTATATTAAAATATGAACACGAAGATCTTCAGTGCTAGTAGGATAAGTTATTAAATGGAAATGGTTGCTATGACTAATATTTTGGGTGTAATTAAAAAAAATGTGGAAGACATCTGAGTACCTTGTAAGAGGCCACACTAATTCATAGATTTTCTTGACACTTGTTTATACCTGCTCTGCCTCTTTTATCATTTATATTGTCTGTGTTTTTGAATTACAAAAGTGATTACATTTAGATTTCTGTACATTTTCTGTAATGAATAATAAATATTGTAAGTGGTGTAATTTATGTAATAATGGCATTTATATATTTGAAAACCATTGTGCAACTTCAGATAATTCCATTATACCTATAGTCTCTATCAAGCTCAATAAAATATGTAATGTTAATATTTTCTATTTATAAATAATCATGATATTTTTGTTGATGCCATATTTTTTAGATGTAATCTTTATGTTTAATTTTTTTTTTCATTAAGGTACAGAGACTACTCAGAATTCTGAGTTGTCACTTTGTGACATATTTTAAAGATAATTGTTTTGACAGGCCCAAATATTTATGTGGTTATAGATTGGGTTAGTTTTATATGCATAACCCCAAACTAAAAATTTGTGAATGTCTTTCAGGTTTCCAACATTCCCTTAGAGGAGGATTATCTATGCCAATTTGGAGATAAAAGTCTTCTAAATCTAGTTGCCTTTTATTTTTTTATAAATGAGAAAACTGAGGCTTATGCATATTAAGTAAATTTTTTTTCAAAATTTCTTTACTATATTGCCTCATTAACAAACCACTATATTACTACGTAAGATTTGGAAATCTTTTTCTGATATAGATATCAATTTTAGTAATTTTGTTGACCTGATTTATACTCTTTTAGCATCATATTTCCATTGTGAAGTGTTCTTTAACTAAAATTCTATTTAAAAACTTAGGTTTGGTTTCAAAACCGAAGGGCTAAGTGGAGAAAAAGAGAACGTTATGGCCAAATACAGCAAGCTAAAAGCCATTTTGCTGCCACCTATGATATATCAGTTTTGCCAAGGACTGACAGCTACCCACAGGTATGGTAAACAGCACAGAATAATGATCTGATTGGGAGAGATAGGGTTTGTGCATTCTGAAAATGGTTAGTATAGCCTTCATTATGTCTAGTTAAGAATGAAAATATTTATCTTCAGAAGCCTTTTTCCATCAGTGTTGTCTTTATTGTTGCTAAAATATTTATTTTTTGTTGTTTTCTGGAGTCATTCACTTAAAATTTTTTCAGGGCATCTTTCTTGTTTTGGATTGCAACAACTGAAATAGAGCATCATTTCATAATATGTGTTTTATTTACTCTAGCTGTTAATTATTCAGACTAACTTCCTTTGTTGACTTTTACAAATAAAACATTGTCTGCCATGTTATCTCTATGGTTATTGCTTTATGAACCACACCATAACCTAAAAAAATATGGCCTTTCAAACCTCAGTTACACTTCAAATAGCTTTTTTATGTTGTCTTTTCAACTTTGAGGTTGTTTGTTATTTCAAGGAAATGTTTAACCTTTTTGTGTCATAAAACATACAGAATTGGTAGTAGACTTAAGTTAAAATATTTATCATTTGAGAATCACTTTCATTTGTAATGCAAGATGTCTTATTTCATTTCAAAAAATAGAAATTATTTTTCTTCTAACTTTTCCTCTAATTTGGAGAGTTTTCCCCACACTTTGTATGGCATGAAAATAAAATACATTTTGTCTTTCTAGTTGAATATTACTTTTTGTTAATACAGAAGAGTAGTATTAAGAACGATATTCGATACTTGATCACGAACATATGTGTTATAAGGAAGTAACCATCGGTGCTCCATTCCTTACTGTTTAATATTATACGTTGTATGAGACCACTCTGAAAACACATGTGAAACACATACTCTGGTACAAAACATTGATAGTTCACTAATCAAGTCATTGCAACTCCAAACTTAAAAGTTATAAATTTTTTTAACTATAAACTGATCCTTAGGGAATGTGATATCAGTCCTTTAAATTTCTGCTATCTTGGTTTTCTTAGACATTTTCTCTAGATAAATTCCTCAAGTTTGCTAATGTGACATTATGTATATGAAAAAGAACCTTAATGGTAACCTAATTCAATTTCATTTTAAAATTTAGGAGATCAGGCTCCTGTGAGTTAAGGCATTGGTCAGTGATGACTCTAGTGGGTGGGACAGGCAGTCTACAAACGACTGCTCTGCTTACATTTCCACTGCTCTTTGCTAGAACAAAACTATGAGTACCTTTTGCTTACTGGCCCATACCTTCCCCAAGAAGAATCTTTTACTTATTCTTAAAAACATGTCTTACAGTAAGTACCTTATTTTTTTTCCTGCTTAAAAGTATATTTCTGTTCCTGGTTACTTATCATAGTACTCATCAAATTTTATTCACCAAGTATTTTTGAGTGTCCTAGTTATTTTTAAATAAAGTGTTATGAGATTGGTATTTTTGGGGGGGAGGTTTGTGAGCAACACAAGAACAGGTGGTGTAGAGTTTTTTAGTTGTTGACATGATTCTAGCACTTATATGTACCAGGCACTGTTCTGAACACACACACACACACACACACACACACACACACTCATTTAAATCCTTACAGCATAACACCCTTATGTAGAAAGTGTTGTTAATTATGACCCCCTTTTTTTTTACAGGAGGAAACTGAAAGACAAAAAGGTTAGGTAGTTACTCACTTTCACATGTGACAAAGCCCTGTTTGATCAGTCAGTTTGTCTCCCAAGCAATATCTTAACACTCACAAAGGATTGTCTCTCCCATCAAATATGTTTAAATGATTGATATGTTAATACAAAGGAATAAAAAGCCTAAGTGAATTTTTCCAATCTACAGTTTAGTTTGAACAGAAAGGGTCTAACCAACCAATAAGAACACAATAAAAAAATGGAGATGGCATATACTTATACAAAAAATATGTTAGATAATAATATATGAAACACTGGAGGGGGCCTGTACATATTGTAATTTGACCTGCTTGACGGTGATGACTTTATAAATAATACAGTCACAGATTAATGAACTTTCCAAGTGTACTTTAGCAGTCTTACTGCTAAGTTTACCCCATCTCACTTGACTTTTTTTTTTTTTTTTTTTTTTGCATCTTATAGCAGTCTTTCCTCGTAAAACTCATCTGTTTTTTCACTTCTCTGTTGGTCCCCCTTTCTTCAGTTTAGCATATAATATTTAGAATAGTACATGGCACTAGTTAAGCTCTAAGCTAAGGACTAAATATCACTTAATATACTCTGACTAGTCACATTTTTTTGAGGATTATCTTGACACTGTGTTATTGTGCCTCACAGCTTTAGATATTATCAGTAGCCAAATCAGGTAACCTAGTAGCTAAAGCAGGAAAAAAAATGGTACAAATTATACAATTGATAGTCTTTTTTCACTCCAATGAAGAAAGAGTTTCCCTTCACAAATCCTGGAAATTTTATACTAATTTTCCTTGTGATTTCTCCATAATTTATGTGCTTTGTCTATGCCTCATAATTTAAGAGGGGAGCACAGAGCACATGCTGAGATTATTTTGACAGTGTAATTTATTAACAATAATAAAAAATTAATACTGTAAAAAATTTCTTTTAGATTGCTAAGTCATTTAATGTTTTGTTGGAAAAAATTCTGAAAGCAAGTGTCTCCCGCTCCCTACTGTCAGTATTGGATAAAGTCAGGGGAAAATTCCATTTAACTTAAAAACATGCAGTTGACTCTTTTTTAGTTTGCTTGAAAAGAATAATTATGCCAAGACTATGTTTCCCAAGCTTCAGCCTAAAGGAAATATTTTTTTTCTTTTATCACGTGGCTTGAAAATAGAAATTTATAATGGGAAAAATAGGAACCGAAATAGGATCCAGCAACTCATTGCAATAAGACATTGAATTTGGTTACTGTTACTAATTACAGAAAAAAAAATATTAATTACAATAAAAGTTGGAAACTAGAAAATGTTGGAGGCAGCACAGAAATAAAGAATTAGCAATTTGGCAGGAAAGCAAAAGCATACACAGAATACATGAAAAACAGATGGTTTAGAAAATCATCTCAAGCCTGCTCAGTGTGGATAATAATCTTACCTAGCATCAAGGTACCTATATATAACATGTAACATTTACTTATGAGCAGTAATTAACGTTTTATAAAATGTAATACTGCATTTGCATTGGTCTTCTTACAGATAGTAATAGTATATATAGTAACAGCCACACAAGTAAAAATAACTAGAAGTTGGGAACTTATTTTAAGACAGGCTTCATTCTTATAACCATTAACACATTTAATTTGAGGTCAGGTTTTCTAAACTCAGGAGTCCAAGCCTCTTTAGGCAACATTTTCTTCTTTATATTTCACTCAGTAATGAAACAGTTCACTTTTTACCTAAGCCATCACATCACTTTGTAAAAGAAAAAAGAAAAAAAAATGCTTCCATTTTCAAAAATCTTAAATAATGATTCAAAGCATTTAAAAAGTATAGCAAGGTATTAAACTGTTATGAAATATTCTTTTCTTTATTTCTTTACATTTAATAGCAAGCAAAACATGGAGAAGTGTGATATCAGTAGTAGTATACTTTAACTTATTGCAATAGAGTTAAGGTAGAATATTTGGTATGCTAAAAATAGTATTTTTAAAAAACTGGTTTGTCTCACAAGTTTAGTTGCTATTTTGGCAGTACTATGATTTAGCTAAGTTAAACTATTTGATCTTTTCCTTCCATGACATCTTAAATAAGCAGCTTCACTGTTTGTGTTGTATCTGTTCCCACAATCCCTTCCCATCACCTCGTCTCTTTCCTTTCTGTATCCTCCTCTCAATCCTCCCCCAATCGCACATCACTTTCTCACTGACATTCTGACCTATCTGCCACCCCATTTACAAAGTTAAGTATTTTAAAAGATGATTTCACTTTGTGTCACAATTTTAGAATAGATTTGAAAATAGTGCATAATTACTTCTATGTATTCAGGGACACATTAAGAACAAAAACTAATCCGTTTCAATAAAAACAGCAGATTTCTGAACCCTCACTAAACTACCTCTGTAGGGTTTAGCAGTTAACACTTCCCTCTTTGAGTCTGTCCTCCTCTACCAAAAAGAACAGACTAGAACTATTTTGCAGAGCCCTTTCCATTTTGTGTTTTTTAGTTATTTGTATTTTATACAGTAAGTATATGTTAGGTGCTGTTTTAGTATGGTGATAATATGAATGATCTAGATAAAACCTTCTTTGTGAACAAAGTACAAAGGAAGTGATATTCATAACAATATCTGCACTTACTTGTTGCAAAAAAGAATCAAGGAGACCTACATAATTTTGCCCTTGAGTTTGAAATGCAAGTGTCTATTGACATTAAATTCTAACTTGTTTCTAATTTTTAAAACCAAAGCATTTAAAAAATTATTTTTCTGAATAAAATATTTTCTATTTAGGCATAAATTTTTCTGAAAGATTATCACTAGCTTTATTCTTAAGAGGAACACTAAGGTATTATTAGTGCTAGAATTGGCACTAAGGATGATGATCATAATTGTAACATTTTTTTGTTTATTGAGAGGGCTAATTTGATTTCCCAAGAGACTATGCAGCTAAATCCAGGGTTTGAGGAGAATTAGGTATTAATGTGGTAACAATGAGAACCATTGCCAGAGAGGTATGGGTTCAAATTGACACTGCCCCTTGAATATTGGCAAATGAATCAAACATGTTTTTCCTCAATTCTAAAATGGGGATAAAATTTTATATTCTTTTTTTTTTGGAGTATTAAAATAGTTTATGAAAAGTACTTACACATATTGACTCATACATAAGTGGTCAGTAAATAGTAATTGTAATAGCTATTATTCATTATTAATTTTTTTCTAGTAAACGATAGAGAGGCAGCTAAGTGGTTTGAATGCTCTTTTAAATGTAAGGGAACATCATTTAAACTACTCCAACCTGTGAGTAAATTTACTATTTAGGGAAAGATCAAATTCAGTTAAATATACTTCCATCTT